CCAGGTCTAGGACAGGACTATAGAACATGCAGTTTCAGAAACCCTGAGAGTACTCTGAGAGGCAGTCTTAAGACTTGGAAGTCCAGGAAGGCTTCCTGGAGGAGAGACCATCTAAGCTGAACCCTCTGTGGTGGGAGATGATTTCCTCACTGTCCCTGAAAGTTTTCTTACACTTTCCTATTTCTGCACCTTTGCCTAGATGCTCTAGTGCTGCAGCAGGTTAAGCATCAGGCTGCTAACCACAAGATTGGCAGTTCAAACCCAGCAGCCACTTCACAGGAGAAAGATGAGGAGTGGTTCTACTTCCTGTAGGGACAGGTGGCAGTGGGTTTGATCTTGGTCCCTTGCCCCACTCCCATCCCAAGATCTCTCCCACTGTTTCAATCTTCCTCTTAGCTCTCCCAACGCACTGCAGCTTGAAGGAAGAACGCCTGGAACTCGGTGTGGGCTTTCTCCACTGTCTCCAGGCTTCCATCCTTGGGGGTCAGTGCTTGTAGGCACCGGCTTCCTGCCTGCTCCATCCAGTCGCTGACCTGGGACAAGGGAGGGAGGCTTGAGAATGAGGGGCTGCTAGGGGGGGACACCCTTTCACCTAGGTCCCCTACTTCCTTGGAGGCTGAGGTCTTGGTCATGCAGGGGCTAGGCTGGTGATCACTGAAAATACACTCAAATCTGGACAGGAGACGAGATCACTTGGGGAGAAGATTCCCCAGTGGGATCTCAAAGAGCATTTGGATTGGCCCAGTGCCCTGCACATAGTAAAGCCTCATTGCACATTTGCCTGAATGAAGCCACAGGGTGGCACATTTCAGCTGACTTTAATAATCAGTCAGTGCTGTCCAGTCATAGAAAAGGTGATGAGCTGTCCATCCCTGGGGGTGTGCAAACAGCACTGGAAGAAAAACTGCTTGCTGTAAAGGAAAGTGCATGGTTCTGCTGCAAACTTGTTCTGTGGACTGGGCCAATCATTCCCCTTTCTGGTGCTTAATGTATTCAGTGGTAAAATGAGGGTAGACATGAAATACAAAGGGCATAAAATGGTGTATGGTCCCATGATCAGAAGACCTCTCCCTTTTTTGGGTTTTTAAAATAATTTTCCCCACCAAACCCAGTGTAGCAGGTGCTAGTATCATATCCTTTTTACAGATGAGGAAACTGAGATACTGAATAGTTCAATGACTTCTCTAGCATCAAACCACTGGAAAGTGGTAGAGCCAGGGTTGGAACCTGGGCTGTTGGGCTCTAGAGCCTTAGTGACCATTGAACTCTACTGCTCCCGGCATAAAGGGCAGTGTTGGCTCAAGGCACCAGCAAAAGGACCAAGTGCTACCAAGTGTGGACTTCAGGATCAGACTTCCAGACGTAGGAGCAGGCAGGTGCTACAATGTCTCGGTGTCCTCATCTGTGCAGGGGTGAAGTCTTCACTGATAGGTGATGAAATCAGAAGCAATGATATCTACAAAGTTGCCCAGGGCCTGATACTCATTGCTCAGTGAGTGCAGCTTTGCGGGCTATGTCTTTATACAGTAAGCACTGAGTGCCACAGGATGTGCCACATTGCAAGAATGCCTGCTTAGCCCTTGGGGGGATCCCAGTCCTGTGTCCTTGTACCTGAACAAAGCCCTGGCTGGATCAGGGTGTGTAGTAGTACCATCCCTGTGGAGGGCAACCAGCCAGAGCCCCCTATTGTTCCTTCGATCCCACCAGCCTCCAGGATCACCTGGTGGATGGAAGCCTCCAGGTGACCAAGGCGGATTCGGAGCTCCAGCTTCCCCAAGAGGTGGTTGGATGCAGTGACCAGGATATGTAGTTGCTCATCCACAAGGCCGTACAGGGTGGCAGCCTCAGCCAAGTGGCTCCTGGGAGGCAGATAAGAGTGAGAGAGAGCGAGGACCCTGTCTCCTCCCACAGTAATCTTGCTCAGACCACCTCCTCCCTAACTCCCACCAACTTTCAGGTTCCAACCTGGGTATTCCTAACCCTCTCTGGGCCTCAGCCTCCCATAGGAGTGGGAGGACCAGAGGACATAGCAGGAAATGAAATGACCCTTCCCTAGAAGACAACTAGAGCTCGACAGATCTAGGTTTAAATCCCAGTCTTGCCATTTTCTAGGAATGAGACCTGGTGCAAATTTCTCAGCCTTGCTGTCTGTTTTTTCATCTGTAAAATGGGATAATGCTGGTTGTGAGGCTTAAATGAGATCATGCTTTGGCTCTCAACCCTGACTGCACATTAGAATCCTCCAGGGAGCTTTGCAGAATCTGATGCCGAGGTTCCAGGCAGACTACCAGGGGGTGCAGCCTGGAGATGAGAGCCAGGGTCAGGAACCAACCATCCTGCATGCAAAATGCTTAACGTAGTCCACGGCACACGGGACATGCACCATGTTTGTGGTGATGGTTGTTAGGTGCCGCCAAGTCCCCCTAACTCATGGCGTCTGTCCCTAGGCACAACAGAAGGAAACACTATCCAGTCCTGTGCCATCCTCAGAATTGTTACGTTTGAGCCCATTGTTGCTGCCACTGTGTCAATCCATCTCCTTGGGGCTCTATCTCTTTTTCACTGGTTCCTTCTGACAATATGTTTGCTAGGACTTATTATTTCTATTGTAATGATGTGGAGTTCCCTGGTGGTTCAAATGGTTACACACTCAACTAACTGAAAGGTTGGTGGTTGGACTCCAGGTATGGTGCTGTAGGATAAGCATTTGACCACAAGGGCGGTTTGAACTGCAAGGTTGGGGATCCAAACTCCACGAGCTGCTCCTTGGAAACCCTATAAAGGGTCGCTATGAGTTGGAACCAACTGGAGGACACTTAACAACAAGAGAGGGGAACTGACGTTCACACGTGGGGAGTCTCAATTAGAACAAGTAATTTTTTGAAATGGACAAATTCAGCAAACATAAGAGGGTGCTGACAGGTATACCAGGCATGGTGATATTGGGTGAAGGGAGGAATCAGGTGACTTTCCCAAAGTCCCTCAGATTGTACTCCACGCTCTTCAGCCCTAGGTCAGAGGGAAAGTAACAAGAGGTGATGAAAGTAACAACCATCACCACAAACTCTCCTGGGGAAGACTTGCCATGGAGTGGAGCTTCCACTATGGTCACCACCCTTCCAGGGAAGGGATGAGGACATGGGGTGTGTGAACTGGATGGAAAATGCCAGCCTGCCTGGCAAGGGAAGGAGGAAGAGGATGAGGTAGGCTGGAGCTACAGGGAATCTTTTGCAGAGTACACACGTTTTGACTCATGTGGGACCACAGCGCCCCCTGGTGGAACTTCTGGGGACAGTGGTCTGGAGGGGCTTAAGGTTGACGACAGGAAGTACTTGGGCCAAGCCTGAGAAGTTGGAGCATGGCGGGAAAGGCATCCCCAGATCCAGCAGGCAGTGTGAGGGACAGGGAGATGAAGTCACATCGAACACCTCTGCCCACCTCACTCCAAACTGCCACCTGAGGGATGCTGCATCTGGGGTCACAGCTCAGAGTGAAGTGTTCAAGATCCTAGAGTTAAACTTCCTGGGTTCAAGGCCTGTTCCTGTCCCATCCCAGCTGTGTGACAAGTCTGTTAGCCTCTCACTGAGCCTCAGGGTTCCCCACTGTAAAATGCTAGGATCTACCTCATGGGTGGAAATTAAATAAGTTAAATCAAGTCCTGGTGTGGTGCACTAGACTGCAAAGTTGGTTTGAATCACAAGGTCACGGTTCAAGCTTACCAGCTGCTCCTTGGAGACCCTATACAGGGTCGCTATGGGTCGGAACCAAGTTGACAGCACTCAAAGACAACAACAATATCTATCAAGCCCTTAGAATAATTCATTGCAGTTTAAAAACAAATAATTGCACCGGTTGTTTTGGACTCGTGAAAATTCCCCGTGGTACAGAGTAGAATTGTGTGCTCCCTAGGATTTTCAAGGCTGTGACTTTTTGGAAGCAGATTTATAGACCTTTCTTCCAAGGTACCTCTGGATTGACTGGAGCCTCCAATCATTAGTTTAATAGCACTTAACTGCTTGCACCACCCATGGTGCTATTTGGGTGTTGGTTAAACCAACAAGTTGTTCTTAAAAGCTTATGAAAGCTTTCATTTGATTCCTGAATATAAGTAAGAGGGTTTGTTCTAATAGAAGTAAAATAGTTCCAATAATTTACTAGTAAAATTACTGACTTTCTCCTACCCCCTAAATTTAAGTTGGTACTCTCCAGGAATGTAAATAACTTGTTCTGTGGCTGTGAGACTCTCCATAACACACACATAACACACCATGAGGTTCTCACAGTCCTGCTGAGAAGTGCTGAAGAAACAGGGCAGTGGAGGGGTTAAGTGTTCAGATGGCCTGGCTTCAAATCCCCACACAACCATTGCGTAGTTGTTATTCCAGTCCACTGCACCTCAGTTACCCATCAGCCAAGTGATGACGCGGCCAGTCAGCCTCACGGGGCTCTTGTGAGGAATAAATGAGCCAAGACTTGGAAGGGCTCGACCCACTATCTGAGTCAGAGAAAGTGCTCGTTACATAAGGGTGACGGTGACCGGAAATGGGCAGAGCTGTCCTTGGGGCCCAGGCCCGCTGAAGATGGCCAGGACTGAAGGAGGGCTGTCAGAGAAGGGACAAGAAGCTTGCCAAGGCTCAGGTGGGGCCTACGACCAGGTCTCTACCCTAGAGATATGCCCTCCAAATGCCCCAATCCGGGGCATCTCCAGGGACCACCCTGTGTGTCCACCAGGTGGGGGTGGGGTGGGGTGAGGAAAGGCCCAGTCTCCATACCTGACATCGGGGTTGAAGTCTAGCCTGCTGGCCTCCCACTGCAGCCTGGCTAGTGTGGCTCCACCTTCCTGCTGGAGGCCCAGTAGGCATGGGTCCTTCAGCACAGCCTCCATCAGCTCCTTGGACTTTCTCAGACACCTGGCAGCCTCCTGCCAGGGTAGGGAGGTAGCCTGAGGCCCAATCCCCACTTTCCTTCAACAATCCTCCAAGTCTCCCCACACCCAGATCAAATCCGAATTTCCCAGTTTGGGTTGCAAAGTCCTCCAGAAAGTCGCTTCTATCTCTGAAACACCTCCCCAAGCCCAGCCTTCTCATCACCATGGCAACCACTGTGGTCCAAGCTTCATCACCTCTTGCTCACTCACCTTCCTGTTGCACTCTGGCTCCCCCTACAGTTTGCTCACCACATGACAGCTGGCAGACTCTCTAAAGTGCAAATCTGATCTTCTCATTTCCCTGCTTAAAGGCTACCAGTGACTTCCCTGATGGTTTAGAATCAAATCTCAACCCGATTTCTCAACCCAATGCTGCCCCTGACATCCTTTATGGTCTTCTCTCCTTTTCTTCCCTCCTCTATTCCTGAAACCATCTCAGGGCCTTTGTATGTGTTTACACATTTGCCCTCTGCAGATTCCTACAAGCAGGGTGCTTCTTTGCCTTCTGGTCTCAACTGAAATGCCACAGCCCACCTGAATTGGATCCACTCCCCCATCATTCTCCACCTTACTTTCATGGCACAATTTGCAATTACATATTCATTTCTTTGTTTAACTTTTTAACAACTACCTCTGCCCCTGCACCACGAGTCCCATGAGCACAGCAACAAGTCTGATTGCCTCAGACAGGAATTCCAATGTGGGGCCCAATAAGAGTTAGTCAGATGAATGAATGAATGAAAAACAGGGGTGATGATGTCCACCCTGGATTTCCCCTTCATGAGCCCTTGGTCTGTGGAGTGTGGAGTGCAGTGTGACTATGCTCCAGGCTTACCTGCACTCCCCCGGGAGGGTCCTCCTTCTCAAACTCCTCTATGGAAGCTTGAAGCAGGGAGGAGGCCTGGCGGAGGTCAGCAAGGAAAGGGTCCAATTTCTGCAGGACACAGGGATAGAGAAGCGTCAGCCTAGGTCAGTGGGAGGATGCCTCCCCACCCCAGGAGGACACAGAGGTGTCCTGTTAAGTGGTGGTTCTCAAGCTTTAGCTATACCAGAATCTAAAGAGCTGGTAACACACAGCTTGCTGGGCCCTATCCCTGAGTGTCTGATTTAGTACTTCCGGGGTGGGACCTGAGAATCTGTGTTTCTAACAAGTTCCCAGGTGATAGTGTTGCTGCTGTGGAACCACTGGTGTTGGCAATGAGACAGGGGAGAAGAAGACAGGTCTGCACTACTCCTAGGTTCCACTCATACCTTGGGGGAGATGAGAAAGTGGGTCAAAGGGCAAAGTCCCACATCAGTTCCATTCCACCACTTCCTAACTGTGAGACCTTAGCAAAGTAACTTAACCTCTCTGTGCCTCCTCTTCCTCCTTCATGAAACGGGCATCATTGTAGTTCCTGTCTTCTGAGATCAAGTGGTGATTAAATGGGTTAATCTGTGTCAAGCACTGAGAACAATGTCTAGCACACAGTGCTGTTCACTGTCATAATTAACTTGATGGCCTGATCTAGGGGTAAGATTCCATTGGAAGGAAGGGGTTTAAAGCTAAAATAATCCTTCAAAAGCCACAGGATTCATTGGATGCCTCTGGAGGGGGCGTCTGGAGGACTGGGAGACATATAGGAAAGGATCTTTTCCAGTACCTCCACTTTTGTACTATCCAAATTTGGAAAACACTACCTTTTCAAAGAAGAAGAACGTCTAGGGAAAAAGCAATTCAATGAACCACCATATTTCAGGCCAGTGGTTCTCAATGGAGGTATTTGGCCACGTCAAGTGTTATTTTTGGTTGTCACAACCTGGGGGCGCTGCTGTCATCGACTGGGTAGAAACCTGGGATACTGCTCAACTTGCCATAATGCACCAGTCTTCCACACTAAAGAATCAGCTGGCACAGAATGTGAGTGGTGTTGAGGTTGGGCACTCCTGGTACAAAGACAGCCCTGGGTGAGCGCACAGGCACTGCATTCAACCTGATTTAAGGCTGAGATCCTCTGTGAGCTATTGTGAAAGGCAGCTCCTTTTGTGTGTCCTCATGTATTAAATTGAGCATGAAACGCCCCCTTGAAGGGTTGTAGGAGGAAGGATGGAAATACGTGGAGAAGAAGCCCTGTACTGGCAGTTTCCTGTTCCCTCCCTCACACTAGAGGGAACACATCTGCCTCCCCCACAAGACCCTGAACTCTCTGAGTTGTGTGGGTCCATAGAGCAAATGCCTGGAAATGTATTTTCCGTCAACACTGACAGCTCTTAGCATGTGCCAGCCACTGCGAAATTTTTATCCACACCAACTCAATCAATCCTCATAACAACCATATCAGGAGGTAAAAGGATTACTCCATTCTTTTGATGAGGAAACCAGGGTTCAGAAAAGGTAAGTAACTTGCCCATGGTCACACAGCAGACCTGGAATTGGGACCTGGGTAGTCTGGTCCCAGAAACTGAGTTTTAATCACTTCACTCTGCACAGTTATTGTACATATTTGTTGAATGGTTGTTTTCCAACTCAACAGAATCAATGGGTTCATGAGGCTGGATAGTGAAGCGAGAAAGGGTAAGGGATAGGGGTTAAAGGCTGTGATGGTAGGCACCTGGAAAAATCGCACCCACTCGCTGTGGCAGTAGGGGAAGGGACCCTCCAGGGCTCTAGGCAGCTGGCTGGGGTCCACGTGGTAGCTGAGGGTCTTCAATGAGGTCAGCACCTCCACCTGCACACAGAAGAGGTGAGTCAAGAGAGCTAGGAGACTTGGTGTGGGGATAGACATTTGAGAAGGCCCTCCCCAGACCCCTACCCTAGCACTGTTCTATCTGCATACCTGAGGCTGCTCTCCAGCTTAAGAGTTGGTTTCTGGGCAAACTTGGTTCTCTGGAAGGCTTGACAAATAAAAATTCAGAGCCAGACTTTGGTTAAGAAATGTTAAATAAACAGCACTCATACTGCAGCTCTCCTGGCCCATACCCAAGGCAGACATCATTAATCAATCGCAGCGTTTGTTCTCTTTGAGCTAGGCTCTTTCATAGCATGACTCTCCAGGCAATGACACAAGTTGATTAAAATTGGCCCTTGTGATGAAACCTCTTTGCAATTCTTGTACTGGTTTCTGGTGACCCACCAAAGTGCTGTCTCTATCTTGGGGCTGATAGGTTTGTTGTTAAGTACCATTGAGTTGGTTCGGACCCATAGCGACTCTGTATAGGGTTTCCAAGGAGTGGCTGGTGGGTTTGAACCACATAAGAGAGGCCACTAAATCCTAATAGGGTTCCCTAAGGCACGGACTACATCTTACAGATAAAGTTTTAGGTTCATGCTGAGAAGAGCTTCAGTAGCTAAGCTTCGGGTTGGGTGGAATCTATAGTTCTTATGGACCCATCTTCTATTCTTGCTACCCAAAGTATGGTCCAAGCATCAGCATCACCTAGAGCCTGTTAGAAATGCAGAATCTCAGGATATGCACTGTACTGAGCTCCCCAGAGTGACTGGTAGGCACATTAACAATTAAGAAGTACATTTTTTGCTCACCACGTGCCTCTTTACTAACGAGGAGGAAGAAGGAGACTTTTTAATCTGCCTCCTGAAGCAGAGCAGAGGGTCGTAGGAGGCCCATTCTCATCATTGTGTTGCTGTTGTTGGTTCTGACTCATAGTGACCCAGTATAGAGTTTCCTAGGAGCAGCTGGTAAGTTTGAATCTCCAACCTTTCGGTTGAAACCGACCTTGTGGTCCAGGGCATTACCCTGAAGTACCACACAAGGCACCAATTAAAAGGAGCTGCAGGGCACCCTTTAAAGAGCGAAGATGTCACTGTGAGGATGAAGGTGCACCTGATCCAAGCCAGCGTATTTTCAGTCACCTCAAATGCATGTGAAAGTTGGACCATGAAGAAGGAAGACTCTAGAAGAATCAATGCATTTGAATTATGGTGTTGGAGAATATTGAAAGTACCATGGACTGTCAGAACAAACTGTCTTGGAAAAAGGGCAGCCAGAGTGCCTCTTAGAAGTTAGGATGGCAACACTTCATCTGTCAGACTTTGGACATGTTGTCAGGAAGGATCATTCCCTGGAGAAGAGCACCAGGCTTGGTAAAGGGGAGGGGAAGACCTCCAACCAGATGGTGTGACACAGTGGCAGCAACAATAGTCCCAAGCATACCACCTGTGAGGTTGGCATAGGACCGGCAGTGTTTTGTTCTGCTATGCATAGGGTTGCTGTGAGTTGGAACCAACACAATGACACCTGACAACAACAAGCAGGGCTCTTGCTGCAAAGTCCTGAATCAACTCAGGATTTGTATGAATTAGAGAAATGCAGGAAGAACAAGGCGGCAGTGTGGAAATGGCACTTGTCTGGGAGTCTGGAGATCCCAGCTCTGCCTCAAGCTTGCTGTGTAGTCATGGGCCTCAGATTCCCCATCTGGAATGAAGAGGAGATGAGTTTGACCAGATGAAGTTGCCAAATCATGCCATGTGCAACTGTCAATTCTGTGGACATGTCCACCAGGAGTTGACAAGGATTGCCAGGGAAAAATAATTCTGTGATTAACTGGTGATGCCTGCCAGAGGACAGGCCTGGAGAGCTGGAACTCCCAAGCCTTGCATTTACTGACCTGCACAAGGTTATGTGAAGGTCTCTGGTAGCTCATGATTTCTACAGTCCTCATCCCTTTCACTCAAGCTCAGCTCAAGCCCAACAGCCTGCTCCTTAGCTGTGGATGTTGCCCTCTACTCACATCTCACCTGGACATCAGGTAATGTCGCCAGCTTGAGAGCAGCTGCCTTCTCCCCCAGGAACAGCAGAGCCTGGATGGAGGCTGGGACCAAACCCTGCCAGAAAGAACCAGTTCTGAGTTGCTCTGAGCAAGCCTTCCCTGAACCCCCTGACCCTTTAATCGTCTCCTTCTTCCCAGCTAAGAAACAGGCAGAAGGAGGATGGGAGCAAGGTGGCGGTCTCCAGGACTGGCCCCTCTGTGTGATGTGTTTGGAGGTGAATCCTTGGAAGGCAAGAGAGCAGTGGGTTCAAGCTGTGTTATAAGCTTCCTAGATGGTCTTTTCCCTGGGCCTCAGTTCTCCCATATAAAAAAGTGAGGTCAGACCACAAAGCAAGCACGAGCCAACCCTCCATTTGTTCTGCTCCTGTAACAGTTTTGTAGGAATTTCGTGCCTCTCCCATTACCAGTTCCCAAGGCTCATGTGCTCCAAATTAAAGCCCATGAGTGTGTTTCCTTTTCCCGTGGGGGCCACAGGGATTGATGGAGGGATAGAAATCACTGTGAATGGGACACAAGAGATTTTTGCCTGGACCTTAGGGCCAGGCAGCGGTTCATTATGTTGTGCATAGGGTCGCTGTGAGTCAGAGCCAACTGGATGACGCCTAACGACAACTGGGAAACAATCTCAAATGCTTTCCTGCTAGACTGGAATGAGACACTATGTAAGTTAGAACTGTCACCAAGTGGAGTTTATGACTGTGGCACTGTAGGCTAGGCACTAGACTGATAACTACAAGGTTGATGGTTCAAACCCACCAGCTTCTCCTCAGAAACTAAACAGGGTTTCTGTGAGTTGGACTCGACTTGGTAGCGCTTAACAACAACAAGGGGAGAAAGGGCCAGAAATGGAAAGAAAGGAACGAGATCCCAGTGACAGTATTTGAGACCCTAGATCAAGCCACACCTGAAGCTAGTTAACTCCTGTACTGTCCAGTTACATGAATAAATAAGCTCTCTTTGGCTTTCTGCCTGTTGGACTCTCTTTTCTATTAGTTGCAAGTAAGAGTTCCAGCCAGCTATTGACCAGACCTCTGGGATCCTGGTTCCAGCTCCAAGTTCCAAAGCTTTACAAATGTCAGGAGGTGACAGGTAGCCCCTAAGACTTGTTAGGTGGAGGTTCTCTCCCTCCCACTCACCTGGGTGGCCTGCAGGGCACTGACCAGACTTGGGTGTGGGGGCTGTTTCCTGGCATCAATCACAACTGTCAGCCCCTTGGTTTTAGCTTCAGACCTGTGGGTGGCAAACAGAATTGGTAGTCTTGTTGAGTGGTCCGGGGATTTGCCAGGGGAAGGACTCGGGGGAAGGTGAGAGAGATTGGCTGCAAGAAAACCTTGACTTACTGGTGAACTCTTCATCCTGAAAGACCGACTTCCAATGCCCCCTTCCTCCATGCAGCTCTCCATGATTCTTCTCCAGGCAGAGTCCACAGCTCACTCCTTGGTACACCCTTAGTACCTTGCACAGTTCTGTTTACAGCCCTAGTAAGCATAACTATAGCTACTTGTCCCAGTTGCAGTGCATAATTTATTCATTCCTTTTGAGTGGGCAGAACATTATTTTGTCTAAAAATCCAACTCTTTGCATACATGTCCTCCAGGAGCTGGTTTCTAATTTCAGTCTAATAGTGGCAGACCAATTTCCCCTCATTGAATGATTTAGAAAGCATCAAAAGAAGATGGAAGGAGGCCCCTCTCTGTCTTCTCTGCACTTGGAGCAGCTTTCCTGCTACAGCCCCTCATCCCCTGAAAATGTATGCCTACACCAAATTTGTCTGCACCCCTTCCCTGGTCAGGAGCACTTCTCAGCTTCTGAGCCGACCACTGTCTGCAGTGGTGCTGAAACAACCCCAGACCCTGACAGATGAGCGCTCCAGCAGCTTGACAGCCCCAAGTTCCCTGACCTCACTTACTTCTAGTCAAAGCTTCCAGACCAGCACCATGTCAAGGGACATCGATAGACACAGCAGCCAAGTTCACTGGGGCTGGGGCTGCCCCAGTTGGAGTGACTGGCTCTGGAGCTGGGATTGGGACTATGTTTGGGAGCCTTATCACTGGTTATGCCAGGAACCCGTCTCTGAAGCAGCAGCTCTTCTTCTTGCCATTCTAGGCTTAGCCCTCTTGGAGGCCATGGGGCTTTTGTGTCTGATGGTGGCCTTTCTCATCCTCTTCACCATGTGAAGGAGTCGTCTCCACTTCCCAAGTTCTTTTTTTCTCTGTCTCGTCTGCCCTACGTATTCCTTTCCCTGTACCTCCCCAGGCAGCCTGGGGAAAGTCATTGGCTAAGGGTTTGACAGATGGAAGGCAAATGAATGCTATATTAATAAGAAAAAAAAACAAAACAAAAACAAGATGGAAGGAATACACAGTCACTGTTCCAAAAGGAAATGGTCGATGTTCAACCATTTCAAAAGGTAGTATATATTCAACAGCCAATGATCCTGAAGAAAGAAGTCCAAAGTGCACTGAAGGCATTGGCAAAGGACAAGGTACCAGGAATTGATGGAATACAAATAGAAATATTTCAAGAAAGTGAGACCAAGAAATTTGGAAGATAACTACCTGGCTAACTGATTGGAAGCGATCCATATTTGTGCCCATTCCAAGGTGACTTTGGGTAGATTTGAAATGTCAATCTTTAATTAGTAGCTGAGTACTTAACCATTTGTACCACTAAGGGATTCCTCATTTCCTCATTTTTGTAAGAGGGATTTAAGTGCTTGCTATGATTATTGTCCTTGAAGGGGAAATGGAGGCACGCAGAGGTGAAGTAGCAGTGAAGGGAGGTTCTTGATGCTCTGTTTGACTTGATGTTCTGCTCCTCAGCTGTGTCTGGCTGTGCCTCTTCTAGAACACTGGTTTGCTTCCAGACCCATCCATGTCATCAGCCCAGAAGGCAGGGTCCCATGTGACGTCTCTCTGAGTTTCTGGACCACTCAGCATGAATCTGGACCAAAGTGGCGTCAACTCAATGTTTGTTCAAAGCATGACTGGAAGCAAGTCCAGCACACAGGAGCCTCATGTGCACTGCAGTCCTCAGTACACAAAGTATCATAAAGCACTACCCCCTTCCACACACACACTTGACCCCACTTGGTCCTTAGAGCCCTCCTGTGAAGCCATTCTTTTAGCGAGAAAGTGATTACCCCAAGGTCTCATGGCAAATCAGTGGCATTCCAAGGATCACAATCAAACTACTTCTCAGCTCAAAAAGATGGTCCCATCCCCACATTACCGTCTTGGTGTGACACTTGGGATAAGCACTGGACCACAAAGTTGATTGGAACCACAAGACCAGCGGTTCAAACTCACTAATCACTCCCAGGAAACCCTACACAGGGTCACTTTGAGTTGGAACCAACTCGATGGAACTTCACAACAATAACAACATCCTCACATCAACCCAGAAGAGCCTTGGACAGGAGGAAGAGAAATCTTGGTGGCCAGCAGGTGGCAGTGATGGCTGCCGCAGGGTTGGTAATTGTGGGGTGCATGCAAAAGCTTCCAAAATGTTTTGTCAGTCCCTCAACCCTCACCTCCAGCACCCCAAGCAAATGTCCCTTCTGAGATTATCCTGGCTGGGGGCTGGGATTAAGATACAGGATGGTGTCTCTGCCTCAGCCAGTTCAACATTCAGTTTGGGGGTGATGGGGTTAGGGGTGGGGATGGGGGTAGAGGGTGTTAGGAATCAGTCTGTCTTTTCACTGCTCACTTTCTCACTCATTTATTCATTCATTCTTTCCTTCATTTATTCAACAGAGATTCTTAATTCAGGTACTAACTCCTTACCTGGGGATGGCACACAGGTAGGAGAGTAACTTGGTGACCTCTGAGACTGAACACCATGGCGTCTCCCAGAGCTCCTCGCTGGTTGACACCAGAAGCAGGGGTCGTCCTGCCCTGTCCCGACCACCTGGAGGAGAGAGGATACACACATATATTGAGAACTTTGGCCAAGTGCCTTGAGTGGTCTCTAACCCTCTGCTCTTACTGGTTCCCTTGCCTGGGGCTCCCTTTCTCTCCTCCTGTGGACTCTGAGCTCTTATTCTTTCTTTAAGACCCAGCTCCAATGCTACTTTCTTCAAGAAGTCTTCCTTAAGCCTCTCCTCCATGCAGAGGGTGCCCCTCCTACCTCTGGACTCCCTCTGTACCAGGCACCCTGAGAAACAAAGCTCATGGAATGATTTTGGGGTCACACAGATGGGAGTTCAAGTCCTGGATCTGTGTTGAATCGCTGTCCTTGGGCAAGTCGGTGCATCTCTGAGCCTCAGTTTCCTTATCTGTGAAATGGGGTGAAGAAAAGTACAGCACTTATTAGGTTATTTTGAGGATTAAATGAGACAGTCACTGAGAAGTATTTAACACACAGCAAGGTGTGTTAACACACGGAAAGGTTGTGTGGCACTGTAGGATGAACAAGGTTGGTTTGAACTGCAAGGTCCATGGTTCAAACTCACTAGCTACTCTTTGGAAACCCAAAGGGAACTGTTATGAGTCCTAACCGACTCAATGGCACTTAACAAAGTCAGATCAATGGTAGTTGACAGAAGCATCATCTCAGTCTATGGTGTAAGGAGTGCAGTCCTGTGGCCTCCAGCTCACTGTTCATTTTTGTAGTCTGTCAGCCATGGGTTCTCCAGACTAGTTCCTGTTCCCAGGAATCTGGGCTGGTGTCCCACACTCTCAAGGGGGTCATCAGGCTTTGGTGGAGGTGAGGGCACCGGCAGGGGGGCAGGAGACCCAGGCCTCTGCCTGTCCTGCTTCCCAGGCTTGGAGTCACCCACAAAACCACCTCGATCAGGGTGCCCTGCAGTGTCTATCACCCACCCAGGGGAGCACAACCCTCTATGATGTGCAAGGCCCCTTCACAGTCCATGAAGTCTTAGACAAACTTGACCATCTTCACAAGCACTGACCTATATACCACCGGGACCATCCATCCTTTCTTTCATACATGTCTTAAAATTTGACATAATTTACCTTTTCTTAAAATATTATAAAGGCATACGTGTGTGTATAGCAGTTGCTATCATATGTGACCCATGTGTGTTGAAGTAGAACGATGCTCCACAGGGTTTTTATGACTGCTATTTCAGAAGTCAATTGTCAGGTCTTTCTTCCAAGTTGCCTCTGGGTAGACTTTTGGTTAGTAACTGAGAATGTCAACCATTTGTACCATCTAGGGAATTGTAGAGAGAGAGGGAGGGAAGAAAGGAGGAAGGGAGGGGGGAATTTGTATATATGTATACTGTTGGTGTGTGCTGTTGAGTCAATGCCAACTCATTGCAATCTTGTGTAGGGTTTCTGAGGCTGTAAATGTCTTAGGAAAAGATGGGGCTGTTTGGGCTTGCTAAGATGTACAGCCCCGGAAGTCCTTATAGTGTTTCTGTGAGTCAGAACTGAATTGACAGCACTGACCACCACCAACACATATACATATACAGAGAGAGAGAGAGAGACGATCCCTGGGGGTGCTGTAGTTAAATGCTCAGCTGCTAACCGAAAGGTGAGCATTTTGAACCACCCAGTGGCTCCATGGGAGAAAGAACTGGTGATTTGCCCCTGTAAAGACTTGTTGTTGTTAGGTGCCATTGGGTTGGTTCTGACTCACATAGGGTTTCCAAGGTGGATTTGAATTCCTGACCTTTTAGTTAACAGTCCAATGCTTATCCTGCAGTGCCACATCAGGACTCCTGTAAAGATTATAGCCTAGAAAACCCGATAGTGCAATTCAACTTTATTACATGAAGTTGTTTCCAGTCAAAATCGACTTGATGGCACCTAACAATAAACACAACAAACTGATGACTATAGCTCAACTGCAGATCCGATGGTGCTACTCCCCTGCTCAACAACTTTCTATGGCTCCCTAGGACCTGTAAGAGGAAATTCAACTTCTTGACCTGGTACTTGTCACCCTAGGGTCTGTATACTCTTCTAGCCTCATTTCATGCACTATTATCTCCCTGTGCTAGTTATGTCCCAGCCAGACTGGGTTATCTGTCATTACCAAGCAAGCCTGACCATCTCCCAGTTCCCCACATTTGCTCAAGCTATTCCTCTGCCAGATATACCTTTCCCGACTCTCTAAGTCTAGTGAAATTCCCCTCACCTTCCAAAGCTCACCCACATGCCACCTCCCCAAACAAGACATCTTCACTGCCCTCTGTATTAACTCCCTTCCCCTATTGCCATAGTAAAAAAAAAAAAAAAAAAAAAAATAGAGGTCTCTGTTAGATGCTGAAAGACTGAGACCTTCTTAGGGTGTGTGCTCGTGCAATTCGTTGCACCCGGGCGCTCAGCCTAGGCTGTCACAGGTAATCAATGTCTGTGATTATAAACTGTGAATGGATGACTATAGCAAAATGCCCCGGATACCTGGCTAGAATGCAGATTCTGACTCAGCAGGATGGAGGTGGGGCCTGCATTTCTCACAAGCTCCAAGGTGATACCAAAGCAGTTGAGGCCCAGACCACCTTCAGAAAGACATTCCTTATTAGCACACTGTAAGCAGTGTAAGCCTGCATCCCCAGCAGACTTTACCTGAAGCCAGGCTCTGCACACAACTGGTGTGGCCTGAGTTAAGTGGAGTGATGTTTTATAGCAAGGAAGGGAGTGATTAACTCTCCAGTCTAGGAGCAGAGGTCTCTAGGACCATCAACGGCGAAGACTCGAGAGCGGGACCCTACCCAGAGAAGCAGCGAGGCCCAAGATAGAGGCAAAGAAGATGACATGGAGTGATGAAGCAGCTGGGGACTTTGAATCCAGAGAGGGAGAGGGACTGTGTGCTGAAGACTGGGGGTGGAGGGGGGAGTGGAGGGGGTGGGTTTGTAGGGTATACCCTTTGGTCGGTTGATGATGCATGGAGGGGATTGGAACCATGGCAATGAAACGATATACAATAGAATGAATGTAAAACTAAAGTTCTCTCATGTAAACTATCATATAATTCGCAATAAAACATTAAAAAAAAAAATGGGTGCAAGACATTAACAGACACTTCACCAAGGAGGAGATCCAGGCAGCCAACAAACATATATGAAGAAATGCTCACGATCACTAGTCATTAGAGAGATGCAAATCAAAACAACAATGAGATATCATCTCACACCAGTAATAACAGCAAAGATAAAAAAAGTAGAGGACAATAAATGCTGGCAGGGATGTGGAGAGACTGGGACACTCCCGCATTGCTGGTGGGATTGCAAAATGGTCCAACCACTCTGGAAAGTAATATGGCTCTTCCTCAGAAGGTTGAAAATAGAAATACTTTATGATCCAGCAATTCCTCTGCTTGGTATTTACCCACAAGAAATATGAGCCATAACATGAGTAAATATATGCACACCAATGTTCATAGCGGCACTATTTACAATAGCAAAAAGATGGAGACAGCCAAAGTGCCCATCAACTGAAGAATGGATAAACAAATTGTGGTACATACACACAATGGAAAATTATGCTACATTGAAGAATAACAAGGAAGCAGCAAGCCACCTCATGACATGGATGAACCTTGAGGACATTATGCTGAGTGAAATTAGTCAGTCACAAAAGGAAAAATACTGCACAGGACGGACCACTATTGTAAAAGATTAAGGAAAAGAACCCATATAAAGTGGGGGTAGGGGTGGCGAGGGAGGGATAATTCTTTGCTGGTTACCCGGATGTAGGGGGTGGGGTGAGGGGAGGCAGGGGAAGGTGGAGCACAGGGCAGGGAATAAGACGTAGGATAGCTTGGGTGGGGGGGGTAGGCTGGGGCAATACAAAAGAAGGGGGAGGGGAATGAAAGAACAAAGTGGATGGGAAAACAATTAGGCAGGTTTGCATGGACTAAGTGGGACAGAGGTAAATGATGATGCATGCACAGCCTTGGAACAACAGTGCTCTGGGATACAGGGATTGGGACATGGCTGTAACGGGGAAATAATGTTCAGATGCTTGGCTGTCTTTTGAATCTTGGTTTCCCTTGCATAACATTATAAAATAGACATTTGAGGGGGAGAGAAAGGTATAGCCAGAAATATCACCATAGAAAGCTTGTAAGTCCATCTTCTGCCTATAACTGATTGGAATACCTAAAATGGGGCTACAACATGCCCAGTGAAGGAGGCTTCCTGTGGAACCTCTGCATTACATAAGGTGGAATCCTGAACAGCATCCAGAATCTTCAGAGGTGGGAAATTTCCACTTGAAAGGACAAGCAGAACAGCCTAGAATGGCTAGAAGAACAGAAGATACTCCTTGAAAGAAAGACCTACAGGAAAAATACAAAACAATATAGGCAGACCAACTGATTACTATAAGAACAAGCAAGTTGCTCACCCAGGAAACATCAAGGCAAGTGGTTGGGTCTCCTCAAAGCAAACCCCCTTCCAAGACTAAGACTCAATGAGAACACACACTCTGATTGGTGACTATGTTCGTCACCAATAAGGGAAAGTGAGGGAAAGACAGCAATTAAGCTGCGAGCTAAGCCCTACAATGTTCAATAGACTCCTGTAAACCCAGGTAGAGACCTGGTTGGCCAGCAGTGTTGCAAGACCTGGGGACTCTTGGGCCCAGAGCTAGTGATCTAGCCACAGAGGACTAGAGTGGAGAGTGAAGCATCCAGCTGATGAGAAGAGAGGGCATATGTACAAGAACACCCACACTTGACCTGGCTTCAATGACTGGATGATCAGAGCTCAATTAAAAGAAAGAAGATGAAAAAAATAGTAATCTGATACAATTTGATGAACTTGACCTACACCTTGCAGTAGTTCAAAAGAGGGAAAAAATCTTTACAGCAATGACTGTTCCCATCCCCTCCATACACAGAGTAGACAGGGATGGGCAACTTGGACATTGGCTACCCAAAATGGGTGGGTGGGTGGGTCTACAAAGGCAAGAAGTGACTGGCTTACAAGCTTTCAAGAGGGAACCTAGATCCAGAGGACGTGGAGGAAGGTAGAATCTCTACTGAGTAGTATCCAATCTGTCTAGGCGTGTCTGATGAAAGGAAATGTGGATAGGCCTCTTGGGATACAATGGTGAATGGTTGTTATCAGGACTGATTGTGAGGGTTGAAAATGTAAAGGTAGATGTTTTATAGGCAAGGAGGGGAGTGATTGACTTTGCAGTCTAGGAGCGGAGGTCCCTGGGACCATCAAGGGAGAAGAGTGGAGAGCAGGACCCTAATCAGAGAGGCAGTGACGCCAGAGATGGAGGCAGAAACAATGATGTGGAGAAATGGAGTGGCTGGGGACTTTAGACCCGGAGAGGGAGAGGGGCTGTGTGCTGACAACTGGGGGGTGGGGGGAAGGCTTGTAGTGTATACCCTTTGGTTGGTTGATGATGCATGGAGGGGATTGTAACCATGGCAATGAAATGATATACGATAGGATGAATGTAAAATTAATGTTCTCCCATGTAAAGTATCACATAATTCACAATAAAACATTAAAAAAAAAAAAAAAAAAAGTATGCTATGGAGCAACTGAGAGTTTGGGGGCAGATGTCAACCTCTGGGGTCCAGTTCCTGCTCTTCTGTGTCGGTGGTTTCAGTGAACAGTCTCCGAAGGCTTCTGTGCCTGTGGTAGGCAGAGTAAAGATCCCAATGCGGCCTCGTCCTAACACCCAGAACCTTACCTTACACAGCAGACAGGAATCTGCACTGTGATTAAGAGTCTGGACCTTGAGTTGGGGAGATGCTTCTTGGTCACCAGGTGGGCTCAATCTGGTCACATGACCCTTTAATAAATCAGAAATCCAATTGCCATCAAATTGAGTGGATTTTGACTCAGTGAACCCATGGGCAGAGAGTTTTTCCATCTTTGGTCGGTTAGAGAAAGATGTCACAACAAAAGAAGGGTCAGAGAGATACAATGTTGAAGATGGAGAAAGAGACCACAAGCCAAGGAATGCAGGTGGTCACTAGAAATTGGAAAAGGCAAGGAAATTTCAGGAGCTGCCCTCGGTTGATGGTTGATGGACGCAAGGGTAAAAAAGGTCACTTCTGTGCTTTAAGGTGGAACCAAGGACTCTCTGTGTGTGATGGAATTCCTCACAGGGTCAGGATGAAGCAGGCCTCCAGCTGAGACCAGATCTTTGCTCTGCTCTTTCCCTGCCCTGTCTGGATGCCTTACTCCCTTCTCCTGAGGGAACTCCCTGGATAAATCTCTTTCCCAAGAGCCCCTGTTGGAGGCTCTGTTTCTAGGGAACTTGACCCAAGACATACACCTTGGCTGCCTCACTGAATTCTGGATGAATCCCACTGATTCCAACACATAGCCACCCTGTGTAGGACAGGGTAGAACTGCTCCTTAAGGTTTCCAAGACTGTAGTTTTTTACAAGAGCAGAAAGCGTCATCTTTTTCCCATGAAGCAACTGGTGGGTTTGAACTGCCGACCTTTCTGTTAACAGTCCAATGCCTAGCACACAGGGCCACCAGAGCTCCAAATGGGTGGATGATGTTGTTGTTGTTAAGTGCCATTGAGTCGGTTCTGACCCTTAGCCATCCTATGTAGGGCTTCGAGGAGCAGCTGGTGAACTTGAACCACTGACCTGCGGTTCAAACCAACTTTGCAGTCCCACGCATTAGCCCACAGCGCCACACCTAGAAATGGCTTTCATTTAATCCAACTCTTTCATTAGACACAGGAGGAAATTGAGACTAAGTGAGGCTCCAGAACCCAGGCCTCCAGGCCTTTCTTTGCTTCCTCTAAGGAGGATTCTCTGGCTCCCTCCAGGCCTACCCCTCACCCTACTCCCTACAGCTCTCCTTCCACATTCCCCTGGAATCTCCCAGGACCTGGCAGGCAGGCTATCCCAGAGTGGCAGATCTCAACACTCAGAGCTCCAATCCTGGGCTCAGGCCCTGAGGGAGCCTCGTCCAGGGTGGGGCCTCTTTCTGAAGGGCCCGAAGAAGCTTCTGGGAATGCAGCATTTACGCCAGTCAATGGGCCTGAGTCAGCGACCAGGCCAGATGTTTTGGTGTGAGTTGTTCCAGCTGGGGGAAAACAACAACAAAGAAAAGGATGTTAGCAACAGATGGATTTTCCAAGGGGAAAATGTTTTCTCTTTCATCCTCTGACTAATAAGAATAGTTTACAACTATTGATCTCCTACTGTGTGTGTGTGTGTGGGGGGGCCCTTGTGCTAAACTTGTTTCTTCTAGTATCTCTTTGAACGGTCAAAAACAACTCTGAGGTAGGTAAGATCAGTCCAGACAGAGAAATATGGACTCAGAGAAGTCAGGTACTTGGCCAAGGTCACACAGCCATGCACAAAAAAAGCTGGGTTGTGACTTCAGGCAGTCTGGACAAAATCCAGACCCTTAACATGCCACCATGTGCATTAAATTCTTATATTGATGTGGCCTTGGTGGTTCTCTGTCTTTTACAACCAGAACCATGTTGTAACCAGATCACAGGAGGATGGTTTCCTTGTCCAGTCAAATGAGTGGGCAGCCTACCTTTTGCCGTGGACTGGACTCCGTTGGATCCGGGAGAGTACCAAGAGCACAGGACTTTCCAGGGCTTGTCATGCTGTACCAAAGCTTTCTCAGAGGATGCTGTAGGTAACCTTTGCCCTGCTGAGAATGAAGACTTGAGTCTGGGAGTAGGGGACCCAGAAGAGGAGGTGCTCTGGATAGGGTTGGTCATAGGCATGAGCAATCTTCTGTTTCCCATCTTTGCTTCAGGGACTGGAGCAGACTCTGGGGAAAGGCGGGGAGAGGAAGCTTGTCTTGGTTCTGGCCTGAGTTGGGACAAATTCTCTGGGTTTCTCAGAGATCCCTGGCTCTTGGAGGCAGCTGGCTCTTCAGAAATACCTGCCTTGAGGCTAGAGGCATGGTCTGGGGGGTTCTCTAGGACACTGAAGTAGGGTTCTTGGGGTGAGCATTTTGAGTTGTGGATGGGGGCTTCATGACTGACCTTTTTCCTCAAGCCCAAAAGACAGAGTTCCTCTTCCGACCTTGCTGACCTTGCATAAGTCCATTTTTCTAAGGAAGATTCTCCATTGGCCCCTGAGGGAGGCAGCATCCTTTGGGAGAGGTGGGTTTCTTTAATTTGGGATAGTTCCTCCAGTTCCCCACAAGAACATCCATTGGATGTCTCTGCTTCTTTACTGAGAGACGTTCCACTATTCTCTTGGGAAAAGTCTAGAAGAGCCACATAATCTCTCTCCAAGTCCTTGCTGACCATGTTGTGTGCCCCAGGCCTGGCTTGCTCCACTTTGATGAGTCCTGGATACTTGTTTCCATTTGTTTTGCTCATACCCTTGACCAAACTCCGGGCAGGAAATTCCTGGCTGCCTAGGGCCCTGGCCTGGTGCGGCTCTTGGGGGTTGTTCAAATCAAGTTTTTCTAATTGAAGGGACTTGAAGACTGGGGAAAGGACCTTCACTGCTTGGAATCTGTCATCCACAAACTCTGGGCTGGTTATCTTGGTCCAAGGCAGCAGGGAAATCCCATTTTCTGAGGCTACCATGCAGCTGTGTAGGGGACTTCCCTCAAAGTCACTATTGACGGCCTCCAGCCACTCTTGGGTGAAAAGTATAGGGTAGGAGGACTCAGGAATAGGCTTCTTGTCCACTGTGCGAAGGTCTAAAGAGAGGCACTTGATCATGATGCAGACAGACTGCTCCTCCTGGGGCTCAACTTGGAGGTAGAAGTCACCCTGACGTAATAAGAGGGGATTGAGAGGTGCCAGGTGGACCACAACCTCATTCCGCAGACAGAGCGGCCAGCCCTCATGTAGGAAGAGGCAGTGTGAGTAGGGGGCCTGCAGAGAAAAGGGACTGGCATCAGAGGAGCTGGCTTGGAAGGTCTCAGCCCTCGAGTCTGCTTCCTCCCCTCTCCCAAATGTAATCTAGGATAGGGAGAGGAAGTAGGGTGAGACAAGAGTCACATTTAAGAGGTCCCTATTCTCAGGGTCATATAAACTCTCATCTTGCACTTGGACAGCACTGAGAATGAGGGCCTCCTTAAATACAACTCTCTTGCCTGGTCCTAGTCCTGCTCCTGATAATGAGCAAGCTTGCTAGTTAGGAAGCATCTTTTCTCTGATGATCTGCTTGCATTGCACATGCTTCTTCCCTTCACATCTGAACTACCAACCAGCTCAGCCTTTTAGAGCCAGAGAGACATGAATTCAAAGGTCCAAGTCACCAATTGGTGCAAATTACTTAGCTTCCTGGGACTTTAATAGGGAACAGACAGAAAACTATCAGTAAATTAAAAAAAATACCTACTATATTATTGGGTTAATACAAGAATCAAAGGAGACAATATGCATGTAAAATACCCAATGCAATGCCTGGCATTGAAGAGATGCTCAACAAATATTCAATAAGTATTGGTTTCCTCTCTCTTTGATACCATCATCTTTTGAATAATTGTGGAGATTTTCTATTTTTAAAAAAGGTCATTTACTGCTTACATATCATTCTCTAATTTTTAAGGGAAAAGGTTACCATAAAAAAGTAGAAACATACTGAATGAGAAATCAGGAAATCTGGCTCTGTCATTAGCTTTCTGGATGGTCTTGACAAATATTCCACTATTCTGAACCTGAATATCTAGGAGTCCTGGTGTGGCACTGTGGGTAATGCACTGGACTGCAAGGTCAGCTTGAACTGCAATGTCAGCAGTTCAAGCTCACCAGCCACTCCTTGGGCAGGGTCACTGTGAGTCAAAACTGACTTGATGGCATATAAGAGCAATTACAACATCTATGTATCTATTTATTATCTAATGAATGGGTAACAACTGGCAAGTGAGGTAGAACGTAATTTAAAATAACAAAACAAAACAGGAGACGCTGTCAGCGATTCTCTGCATGCTAAGTGCTATTGAGTCAGTTCTGACTCATGGTGATCCTGTATAGGGTTTCCAAGGAGCAGTTGGTGGGTTTGAACTGCCAACCTTGCGGTTAGTTGTTGTTAAGTGCTGTCGAGTCAGTTGTGACTCATAGCAACCCTGTATATGATTTCTGAGGAGCAGTTGGTGGGTTTGAACCACCAGCTTTGTGGTTAGTAGTCCAGTGTTTATCCTATAGCACCACACCGGGGCTCTGTTGTGGTTAGCAGTCCAGTGCTTATCCTACAGTGCCATACCAGGACTCCAATTCTCTATATCAGTGGATACAGCAAGTCATCTTGGGGCAGACCTTGACAGGAATGATCCTTCTTAGTGGAGCCTTTTCACAGGGTTATGAGAGACACCCACTACTCGTCTGCCAGTTTGCCATACTGTGGTGGTTTGTGTTTGGCTGTGATTTCGAAAGCTATGCCACTGGTATTTTAAATACCATCAGAGTCACCCATAGTGGACAGGTTTCAGATGAGCTTCCAAACTAAGACAGACTAGGAAGAAGGAGTGACGGACTACTTCCAAATATTTAGTCACTGAAAACCTTATGAATAGCAATGGTACACTGCCAGATAGCACAAGAATACTGAATATTGAAACATGATGAAGAGCATCAGAATATTGTCAGACATAGTGCTGGAAGATGAGCCCCTCAGGTTGGAAGACAAACAAAATACAACTGGGGAAGAGTTGCCTCCTTAAAGTAGAGTTCACTGTGATGGCGTGAATGGAGTAAAGCCCTCAGGACCTTCATTTGCTGACGGGGCGCAACTCAATATGAGTCATCATCAAAAATAACATTTCGAGATCTATCGTAAAGTACAATGCTATTTGTGTTAGAATAATATTCATACACCTACAAGAAAGATCAGTTAATACCACTATTATTTAAATTTACACGTCAACCACTTAAAGCCAGTGATGATGAAATTGAACAATTCTGCCAACTTCTTCAGTCTGAAATTGATCAAACATGCAATCAAGATGTATTGATGATTACTGGTGATTGGAATGCAAAGGTTGGAAACAAAGGATCAGTTGTTGGAAAATATGGCCTTGGTGATAGAAACAATGCCGGAGATCACATAACAGCATTTTGCAAGACCAATGACTTCTTCATTGCAAATACCTTTTTTTTAACAACATTAAAAATGATTATACACATGGACCTCACCAGATGGAATACACAGAAATCAAATTGACTACATCTGTGGAAAGAGATGGTGGAAAAGCTCCATATCATCAGCCAAAACAAGGGCAGGGGCAGACTGTGGAACAGACCATCAATTGACCATCAAAACAGCTGAATAGAATATTTCAAAAGGCAGCTTGAGAAGACAAGGTCAAATATTATAATGAATGTGCAACGATCTGGAGTTACAAAGCCAAACAGGAAGAACACGCTCAGCATTTCTCAAGCTGAGGGAACTGAAGAAAAAAAATCAAGCCTCAACTTGAAATATTGAAGGACTTTTTGGGCAAAATATTGAATGATGAAGAAAGCATCAACAGAACATGGAAGGAATATACATAATTACTGTACCAAAAACAAATGGTCAGTGTTCAACCATTTCAAGAGGTAGCATGCAATCAAGAACCAATGATACTAAAGGAAGAAGGCCAAGGTGCACTGAAAGCATTGGCAAAGAACAAGGCTCCGGGAATTGATGAACTACAAATTGAAATCTTTCAACAAAGTGGGACAGCACTGGAGAGCACTCACTCATCTAGGCCAAGAAATTTGGAAGACAGCTACCTGACGAACTAACTGAAAGAGATCCATATTTGTGCCCATTCCAAAGAGAGTTGACCCAACGGAATGTGGAAATCATCGGATAATATCATTAATATTGTATGTAAGTAAAAATTTGTTAAAGATAATTCAAAAATTGATGCAGCAGTACACTGACAGGGAGCTGCCAGAGGTTCCAGCCAGATTTACAAGAGGATGTGGAACCAGGGATATCATTGATGATGGCAAATGAATCTTGGCTGAAAGCAGAGAATACCAGAAAGATGTTTATCTGTACTTTATTGGCTATGCAAAGGCTTTCTATTGTGTGAATCATGACAAGCTATGAACAACGTTGCAAAGTATGAGTATTCTAGATAACTTAATTGTGCTAATGAGGAACCTGTACATAGACCAAAAGGCAGTTGTTTAAGCAAAACAAGTAAACACTGAATGGTTTTAAATCAGGAAAGGTGTGCATTAGGCTTGTATTCTGTTACCAGACTTATTTAATTTGTGTGTTGAGTAAATAATCCGAGAAACTGGATTGAATGAAGAGAAACGTGGCATCAAGGTTAGAGGAAGGCTCCTTAACAACCTGAAACATGCAGATGATATAACCTTGCTTGCTAGAATTGTAGTGGACTTAAAATAGTTACTGATGAATATCAAAGACCACAGCCTTCTCTATGGTTTGCACCTCAATGTAAAGAAAACAAAAATCCTCACCACTAGACTAATAAATAACAAGTTAATGGAGATAAGAGTGAAGTTGTCAAATATTTCATTTTGATTGGATCAACCATCAACACTCATGAAAGTCAAGAAATCAAATGACGTATTACGTTAGGCACATCTGCTGCACAAGACCTTTTTAAAGTGATCAAGAGCAAAGATGTCAGCTTGAGAACTAAGGTGAAGTTGACCCAAGCCATCTTATTTTCAGTAACCTCATATACATGTGAAAGTTGGGCAATGAATAAAGAAGAATGTAGAAAAATTGATGCTTTTGAGTTATGGTGTTGGAGGAGAATATTGAAAGTATTATGGGCTGCCAAAACAACAAACATATCTGCATCACAAGAAGTCCAGCCAGAATGTTTCTTAGAAGCCAGGATGGCCAGACTTCATCCCTCATACTTTGGACATGTTGTCAGGAGGGAGGAGTCCCTGGAGAAGGACATCAGGGTCAGTGAAAAAGAGGAAGACCCCCAGAGATGGATTGGCACAGTGATAGCAGCAATGTGTCAAGCGTAGCAACGATTGTGAGGTTGGTGCAGGACTGGGCAGTGTTTGTTTCTGTTGTGTATAAGATCGCTATGAGTTGATACCGACTTGATGGTAATAATAACACGTATGACTAGTGCTCAACAGTGACACCAGGTGGCAATAACAGAAACAACAGCTCCAATGGATTGACAACGGACTCTTGCTTTCTACCTGGGTTTTGAGGAAAAGAGTCTGGATTTTTTGGATTGAGGAAGCCCTGAACAATCTTATATAATTTGGATGTGCATGTGAGAGGCTTTCAGAGAGTGACATTAAACTTCCTGCTAATTAAGTGGGTGCTTCTTAGAATTATGAATTGGGGAAATAACACAAACCTTATCATATTGTACCCCAAGTTGATAAATCACATCGATTACACTATAAACTTGATTGCTTCAGAGAACTTTCCTCTCTATAAACCTTCACAGCTTGTGAGTTACTTCACCCCTTTATTTAGCCCTCTGTGCTCCACAATAAGCTTTCCATCAGCATCTCAGTGAACGGGACATCACAGCCCAGTGGTATTTTACACCCAGCAGAGAACCACAGACAAGGCAACGTAGGCATTCTTATTCTTACTTTACAGGTGAGGAAGCTGAGGCTCACAGAAATGAAATAATTGGCACATAGTCACACAGCTGAAAAGTGTCAAAAGTAGGACTATGCCTCCATTGTTGGGGTCTAAAGTTCTGTCCCAACCTCCACTTGGCTTCATTTGAGAATGGCTAGTGGTTAAAATGACCGACAGAGGCTGGTGTGACCTTATTTCAGAGGGAGATAAGAGGAAGTCGCCTAGTAAGAGCCCACAGCCACTGAGCACTTACTGATTGCTATGATCTGTGCTAAACTACATACACCCATTCCTCACTATTGACACGGTTACATTTGAAGACCAGGTCGTTCAGTGAAAAGCGATGCTATGTAAAAATGGAAGATGACCACATCAGATCACAAAATAGAGGATGGCGACATCATTGCATAACTGCCAATTTTCAGCATTATGTAACTGCCAAATTTTTATCATTACATAACTGCCAAGCCACTGAGACTGATGGTCCAGCAACTGGATGCATAATCTTAACCATCACAACCAGTGTTATTCTTGCCTTACACCTCGGCATTTGTTACTGCCAGATGTGCATCATTAATGTTCAAAATAGTCAGATAGTAGAGTTTTTACTTTGGTGGCAAATGTAAAATGTCAGACAACTAACTAGTTGATAAGTGAAGAGTAGGTATATATTGTGGCTGTGAGGCAAATACTGTGTTCTTACCATTTCCATTCTAAAAAAGGAAACTGAAACTCATGGAGATAACATGATTTTCCTAAATTCCCAGTGATGGAGCCCAGATTTGACCCAGGGCCATACTGATAATCCCCACATCATGCCTTCCAGCTTGGATGTGACACAAATTTGCCTGTAACAACGAGAAGAATAAAGAAACCGAAGGGCTGTCAATGTCATCTCTGGGAAAAATGAGGAAGGGAACAGTGTGGATGTGGTTTCGGTGACCAAGGAGAGAGGAAGTGAGTGGTTATATAGTTAATCATGGAGAAGAAATGAGGAGGGGGAGGAGCTGCATGGAAATAGGGGAGTTCGTTACCAGTGCTTCAGTGAGAAGCTTCCTTCTACATGAACAATTACTGTATTGTGAGCTATTTCTGTGTCAAGTGCTGCACTAAGCATGTTAAATGAACAATTGGTTTCTTTTTAGTTCCAGCCATCTCTAATTCTGGCTCCTACACCTGAAATTTTTGCCACCACATTCACCTGACCTCCTGATGTGCCCTGCTCCTGTCAGGCAGTGGGCAACTTTGGTAAGACTGGTGGGGCTAATAACCTTTTGTGTAACCTCTACCCATTGACAATAGGGCTAAGCACAAGACATAACCTGGTACCCTTTTTCTCTGGCCATAGTGATTGGTCCAGAGACAGACATGTGACTCGACCTGGCCAATCAGGGGCCTTTTTGAGATTTTTCTAGCTGTAGCTGATGAGGAAGACTTCATTTTTCCCTCTAGGAGTAATCCAAAGATCACTGCAGAGTGGGCCTGATAAGAGTGATGTTAGAAGCAGGGAGAGACAGGCAAGAAACAGAGTCCTTAAGGGCCTTGGTTCCCGGATCAGCTGGTACCTGGGGCCTAACCTACTCAGGCCTGGTCTGCGAAAGAGTTCTGTCACTTGCCGTCAACAAGTTCTGCTCAAGCCACCTTGCCTTCCTCTTTGTCTCAGGGAGAGGCCTCCCCAAGATCTGGGTTTGAAACGAAGAGCGAGTATCTCGATGCCTTAGAGACTCCAGAGAAGCTCTAGAACCTTCAGCTATTTCCATTGAGGCCACTCACTTCAGCCAAAGCAGCCCAGTGATGTCCTCAATGTCAGCTCCGGGATAGGCTCCAGGGAGGCTGAAATCCTCAAAAGCAAATGAAAAATCCACTGGCATTGAGTTGATTCTGACTCATAGTGACCACGTATTGAGATCTTGAGGCTGTAAATCTGTACGGGAGTAGAAAGCCTCATCTTTCTCCTGCAGAGCAGTTAGTGGATTTGAACTGCTGACCTTATGATTAGCAGCCCAGTGCTTATCCTACAGCACCCCCAGGGCTCTTTCAGACTCCCCAAGGATGTCTTTTCTCCATGCAAATCATAGCACAACATGGCTGACTCCTAGATGACAGAGAGTTAAGTCCCAGGTGACCCTCCTGCTCCATTTGAGGGGCTGAAGTCTCCTTCTGAACAAACAATGATACCTGGAAAAGCATCCCACACCCTCAATTCTCCTTCTGAGGCATGCCACACACCAGTGCCCTTCCTTCTCTGATCACCTCCAGTCCATGGCCCTCTGGGAGAGCTTATCCCCAGGCCCTGCATCCCTCCACAACTTACACAGGCTGCTTCTCGCACTTGCTCGCACAGGCGCTTGGCAGGGATCAAGAAATCCAGGAGGAAGTTCAGTCCATCCCCCTGGAAATTGGACTCCAGGAGACGGAATACCTGACCCAGGATGGTAGGCGCTGTGGCCTCAAATGGGGGATAGAGGCCTGCCAGGGCGTGCTGGATGGCTGTATCCAGGGATGGAGGGTCCTGTTGGGGACAGGAAGGAGAGATGAAAAATAATAGTAATAACAAATATAAGGGTAGTATCCATTTCCCAAGAGCTAAGGCCCCTGCTAACTCCGACCTCCACTCTTACTTCCCTCCCTCCCTCCCACCTGCCACATGGACCTTCTTTACTGTTTCCTGAGCACAGCAGGCACAATCCCACCCCAGGACCTTTGCACTATAATGATCATAATACTACTCTGAATGGAAAAATCTATATCAACTGGCATAAATACAATGTAACTGCAAAAATAATCTAATGATACATTGTGATATTGACTTTACTTACATAAATATATTTATGAGTCCAACTCATTGTGATCCCACATAATGGAGTAGAACAGCCCCATAGGGTCTGATTGACCATAACCCTTATGAAAGCAGGTCTCCACATCTTTCTCCCATGGAGTTGCCCTGTGGGTAAAACCCGCTGACTTTTTGGTTAGCAGCTGAGCACTTAACCATTGCGCCACCAGGGATCCTTAATATAATATACTTGTTGTTACTGTTAAGTGCTGTCCAACTCATAGTGACCCTGCACAGGGTTTCTGAGGAGTGGTTGGTGACTCTGAACCTCCAACCTTGTGGTTCAAACTGACCTTGTGGTCTAATGCCTTATCCTGCAGCACCATACCAGGACTCCATAATATACTTAATATATATTTGTTATTATAATAATCAAATTAAATATTATCTGATAAAAACATATTTGGACTCTTGGTGTAGTGCTGTAGGGCCAGCACTGCCCTGCGAACCATGAGGTCAGCGGCTCCTTAGAAACCCTGCACAGGGTCTCTATGAGTCAGAACCGACTCGAAGGCACTCAACAACAACAAGACGTACACATTTATGTAAAGTATATAAAAATCTAATATAATAAATACTTATTTGTTAAACAATATAAAATATGCATTTTTACTACTCTGTTTCTATAAATATGCAAATAATCCAAGAAGCTGAACTCCGTGAAAAAGAACATAGCATCAAAATTGGAGGAAGACTCATTAATAACCTGTGATGTGCAGATGACACACTCTTGCTTCCTGAAAGTGAAGAGGACTTGAAGTACTTGCTGATGAAAATCAAAAGACTACAGCTTCATTTAAGATTACACCTCAACATAAAGAAAGAAAAATCCTCATGACTGGACCAAAAAGCAACATCAGGATACAAGGAGAAAGTAAGTATTAGAGGGAACAAATCTTTACAGCGAGGATCATTCCCACCCCCTCCATACTCAGGGTAGACAGGGATGGGCAACTTGGACATTGGCTACCCAAAATGGAATCACTACAAAGGCAAGAAGTGACTGGCTTGCAAGCTTAACAGAGGGAACCTAGATCCAGAGGGCACAGAGGAAGGTAGAATCTCCATTAAGTAGCATCCAATCTGTCTAGGCAGGGCTGATGAAAGGATATGCGGATAGGTCTCTTGTGATATAATAGTGAATAATTGTTATCAGGATTGACTGTGAGGGTTGGAAATGTAAAGGTACACATTTTGTAGCAAAAGGAGGGGAGTGGTTGACTTTGCAGTCGACATGCTGAAGTCCCTGGGAACATCAAAGGAGAAGAGTAGAATGTGGGACCCTACCCAGAGAAACAATGACGCCAGAGATGGAGGCAAAGATGATGACGTGGAGATATGGAGCGACTGGGGACTGTAGACCCAGAGAGGGAGAAGGACATGTGCTGACAACTGGGCACAAGCTTGCAGGGTATATCCTTTGGTTGGTTGATAATACACGGAGGGGATTGTATCCATGGCAATGAAACTATATACGATAGGATGGAATGTAAAGCTAACGTTCTCCCATGTAAACTATCACATAATTCACAATAAAACATTTTTTTTTTTTTTTAAAGGAGAAAGCATTGAAGTTGCCAAGGATTTAATTTTACTTGGAACCACTGTCAATGCCCATGGAAGTAGCAATTAAGAAATCAAATTACATATTATATTAGACAAATCTGTTACAAAGGCCTCTTTAAAGTATTAAAAAGCAAAGTTGTCACTTTGAGGACTAAGGGATGCTCAATCCAAGACTTTTCAATTTCCCATGTGGCATCCTGGTGTGGCATTGCCAGTTAATGCACTGGCCTGCAAGGTTGGTTTGAACCACAAGGTCAGTGGTTCAAGCTCACCAACCACTCCTAGAGTTGGAACTGACTCCACAGCACTTAACAACAACAACAGTGTGAAAGCTGGACAGTGAATAAGGAAGACAGAAAAAAACTGATGCATTTAAATTGTGGTGTTGGTGAGGAAAATCACAGGTATCATGGAATACCAGAAGAACAAACAAATCTGTCTTGGAAGAAGTACAGCCAGAATGCTTCTTAGAAGCCAGGATAGCGAAAGTTCAACTCACATACTTTGCACATGTGATTTGGAGAGGCTATACCTTGAAGAAGGACATCATATTGGAAAAGTAGAGCATCAACAACACCAAGGAAGACCCTCAATGAGATGGACTGACACAGTGACTACTCCAGGGGGCTCAAACAACAATGATTGTGAGGAGGGTGCAGGACTGGCTGTGTTCTGTTCTGGTCTACATAGGATTGCTCTGAGCTGCAATGCCTTGACTGCACCTAACAACAACAACAACATTTTAATTAAAAAAAAAAGTATTTTAAAGAAAAAGTAAAGAATAAAAACAAATGCTGTCATTAAATTCTAGGAACCTTCAGTCTTATATTTCTTCCAAGGCGAGATTGTCATCCATTTTTGTTGGTAAGTGCTCTTGAGTCAATTCTGATTCATAGCGACCCTGTATAGTGTTTCTGAGGAGTAACTGGTGGGTTTGAACTGTCAACCTTGCATCAATCATTAGAAAGGCATTAAAGACAACCTATCACCAGATGGGGACTCCTGGTTTGGCACTGTACGATCAGACTGGACTGTGAATCACAAGGTCAGCAGTTCAAACCCACTAGCTGCTTCTCAGAAACCCTGTACTCAACAGCACTTAACAATAACAACAACAGCATCACCGGACAGAGTCTTTTTCTTTGGATCATCAGACGATTAGAATTCAAAAGGGACAGACTCGCTCATCCAATGGTTCAATGTTCTCTAATTCCAGTCTGTCTGTGGCATGCCTTGTGCCCTAATCATGATCCACATCCCAAAGACTGGAAAATAATGAGCTAAACTCTCTATTTCATGACATGCCTCAGTTTCCCCACCTGCAAATGAGAATTTTAGTTCCAATTCTGTCTCATTCAAAGGATTGCTATGGAGGTGCAGGATGATGATTGGGAAAGCTAGAACGTATTGCTGCTGTTGTATTGTTGTTGTTGTTGTTGTTAAGTGCCGTCGAGTTGTATTGTTATGAATTGTTATTTCTTTGTTCTCATCCTGCCTAACAAAGCTCAAGTCCCACCCTCTCTACGAAGACTTCTTCTTCTGGTCCTCACTAATATCCTCTCTGACCTTGACCTTTTGCCTACCAATATTTGGGAGGCAAATCCAGCTCCCATCACATCCTGACTCCACTAACTACTGTCACCCCAATAATAATAGTTTCCAGGAACCTACTGTGTGCCAATCCTTCTACTCATATTGCCCAGTCCACATAACTTCCTAGGGGCTAAGTAGAAACACTCCATTTTACAGGCCAATAAGCTGAAGTTGATCTTACTCAAGATCACAGTGAGGAGGAGAAGACAGAGCCAAGCTCACCTTCTTGCCCTGTCCCTGGAGCCTCATCTGTCTTGGGGCCACCAGTAGCCACCAGCCTCTGAGGTGGCCTTCCCAGTTGCCTGTGCTTGTTTCCAGAGAAACTGTTTATCTCTGGAGGTCCAAGGCTCACAGACTGGGAAGCCTTTGGCTTTCACAAATTGGCTCAGGGTTCTGCATACTGTAACCATGTAAAGGGCAGCCAGTAAAACAGGAGGATCTTCCAAATTAATGGGACTCCACGCTCTAGGCCAAAGCATTACCTGCCACCATGCTGAACCCCAGGGGCTCTTAAGCTCTCCAAGTATTCATAAAAACACACAGTGAAGGGGACTCAGGCCGTGACAGGAAGGAATGCTGCCCACTCTCCACCCCAAATCCACTGGGCAGCTCAGTCTGGAACCACAGGAACTCAGGCACCACTGGCCAGATGCAAGCCCCTCAAAATGATTTCCGTGAAACTTAATAGATGTGTTTCCATTCCTTCTCAGTGAGCACAGCCCAGCCGGGCCTTTAACTGTTCCTTAAAGGGAGCCAAGGCCAGAGACAGTGGGTCTGGAGCTGAAAGGGAAGAAGGTGAGACTAGCAAAAGCCAGATTCCAGCCCCTCCCTTGCAACCCAGGGCCATAGAAAGATCTCACTAAGATGGTAAGCAGAACTTATTGTGGGGCATCTGCAGATGCTCCTTGTCCTGATGCTTGGAAACTTAAAAACGATCTGTTCATAGTGCTTATGCTTGGGGCTCAGGGAAAGAAGGAGTGGGTATATACTTTAAAAGGCATGCCCTGGTGTGGCATTGTAGGATAAGCATTGGACCGCAAGGTCGGTGGTTTAAACCCACCAGCCACGCCTCGGAAGCCCTGTCACTATGAGTAAGAACCGACTCCATGGCACATAACAACAATAACATATACTTTTAGTTCAATGTCTTTCCAAGAAATCTCTTTTATTATTCTAGTTTTAGGTAATATTTGGAGTCTCTGGGTAGTACAATCAGTTAACTGCACAGCTACTAACAACAAGGTTGGCGGTTCAAATGCACCCAGAGGGACCTTGGAAGAAAGACCTACTAATGTACTTTTGAGAGTTCACAGCCATTGAAAACCATGGAGCAACTTCCACTCTGACACACATGGGTTTACCAAGAGTTGGAATTCACACAACTGAGCTTTGCTTTTTAAGGTATTATTTACAAAAAGTTTTTAATTACATAAAGTAAAATAAACAAAAATTAAGTGTACAACTATGCATGCACCTCTGTAAACTACCACCCAGATTTCAACAGTCTAAAAAGTTCTCTAGGCCCTCTCCCAGTCAAAATCCTAAGGAAACCACTCTTCTAACTATTGTAATTTTTCAAAGAAAAAAATCCCTACAGTCACAGGATGAGTTTCACTATGTTAAAACATGTGCAAGTCTTGTCAAAAGTCACCAG